TTGTCTTTCGGCTTAAGACCAAACTCAATCACATTAGTTTGTTCAAAACAAAGTTTTGGTCAACGCACACTTAGATTCATGAATGGACGTGAAATTTGAAATGTAGCAACTATTTTCGGACAAAGAATGTATGAATTAGTGATGGAAACTAGAGCAAAGATTATTGTTACTGTGTTTAAAGTTGTTTATAGAAGCGAAGATTTTATCCTTTTTTTCTCTTATCAAGAAAAGAAAGAAAAAAGAATATTGAAATTGGAAAACTCGCGTAGAAGAATTTGCACCTGTATAAAAACGTACAAAGTGGGAACATTTCGATTTTTGTTAAATTTATTACTTTCTCTCTCCGAAAATAGTTGCTACATTTCTTAAGAAGCAAGAAAATGATGAATTACTGAACAAATTTATATTAATTCGAAGAGAAAACATAGATAAATCATGGACAAAACAGTTTAAACATATTTTAACGTTTTCATTATATTTACTGATGTTTTTAAAGTCGATCTTTGCTTTAACTTTTCTTCGATCAACAACGGTTTTAGAAAACTTATAACTCTTCAATTTGTAGTTAATTGTACTTTTGGGACTAGAAATGTTTTGAATCTGTTGTCTTTTGGCTTACGACCATACTTCATCACATTGTTAATTATACACACATTAGTTTATTTAACAATTTGGAAATTGTGCACCGAGAACAGAAAAACTTCTCAGTTTGAGTTTTAGATATTTTGCAATAAATTCACTTGCGAATTGGTTGTTTTCTTGGTGTTTTAAAGTTTTAGTCATGTTACAGCAGTTAAATAATCAAGTATGTAAGAAAGACGTAAAACAAAAGCGCAATGAAATCAAACAAAGTTTGGTCAACGCACACTTAGATTCATGAATGGACGTGAAATTTGAAATGTAGCAACGATTTTCGGACAAAGAATGTATGAATTAGTGTTGAAACTAGAGTAAAGATTATTGTTAGTGTGTTTAAAGTTGTTTATAGAAGCGAAGATTTTATCCTTTTTTAAAAGGATATTGAAATTGGAAAACTCGCGTAGAAGAATTGGAGAAAAAGATTTATATGTTTTTGTTTTGGACTGATGCAACTTTTCATAGTAAAAGCTTTATCTTTCAACTGCATTCAAAAAATTATATAATAAAACTAATAGATGTGAAATATTTCATTTTCTGGATAAAGAAAGCAACTTTTGAACTATACTTTAGCTATTTGAATGTTGTTGATATGTTGATTCAATTTGATGATTGTTGTTTTTTTTGAAAAGAGTTGAAGGATTTGCTTTTATTTTTACGTTTTGTTTGCATCAGTTTGTTAAATTACATGTAGATATTAGTATTAATTTATATTTATATATCACTTATCGTATAGTAATCTTATTTATTTGTGTTTTTTCTTTCTTTGCAAAAATGTAAGTAGTATTTTTTTGGTCGGTTTGGATGTCCATGTCCATTTTGTTGCTGCTGTTGTTGTTGTTGTTGTTGGGAAACACACACACACAGAGAATTTGGTGTTTACTCGCAATAATTCGTCCTCGTATCTGTCAACAATGTCGGTGTTTGTCGGCTGTCCTTCATGTCCACGATGGTGGAGGTCGGGCGCCGACGGGCGACCGTCAGAAGGACGAATCGAAGACGGCCATCGAGGTGGAAATGTCTACGTCCATGCGACAGCACTCGAGGAACTCGTCCAGAGTGACGACGCCGTCCTGATTCTTGTCCATTTTCTGAAAAACGAGAGCAGAAAGGGTTTCGGTGTGCGTGGGCGTGAATTCGGTGTGCGCCGGGTGCTTGGTGCTCGCGCGGACTGTTATATACTTGGAATATGCGATCGACCTTCTCTTTGACGGTGTCGTCGTCGATGCAGGGCTCGGCCAGCTTACCCATGAGGTCGTACACCGCCGACACGATGTCGGTCATCTCTTCGCGCGTTATGCAACCGTCACCGTTTATGTCGTACAGCGTGAACGCCCATCGGAGCTTCTCGTCCAGAGATCCCCTCGACAGGATCGACAGATTCTGCACGAAATCCTGCAGACACAGAAAAATTAAAACAAAAAAAAAACAGAAAGAAAATACCGACACATCAAATGCTGTTGGTTCATACATCAAAGAGCATCAAGTAAATCTGTCTCAGATCCATCAACGCTAATACCCTACATAATCTATGTTTAATGAAACCTCCTAAACCCATCAAAAGCTCGCTCTTCTCGTTTCATCTCGAAAGCTATGAAAAATGCATGCAAACTGAATACATGTTTTCGTAGTCAAAAAATACAGTCTTAGATTGACTTACAGATGCAGTGTCTTCAGATTTCACTTAATAATTCAATAAATATGCACTTTAACTAAATAGTTTTATAGACAAATTAAAGACAAAATTATAGACTTTCCAATGAGATTATCACGAGCTTTGTGGAGTTTGACATCTTTTTGTAATGAGATATCAAATTTGAGTTAAAATTACATGATTTTTTCATTTTAATCTATTTCTAGATATATGTTTTCGTAATAGTAGATTTACATAATTCCTCCATTCAATTGACTTACAAATGTAGTGCCCTCAGCTTTCATTTAATTATTCAATAAATATGTACTTTAACTAAATAGGTTTATACACAAATTAAAGATAAAATTATGGCCTTTCCAATGAGATTATCACGAGTTTTGTGAAGTTTGGCAACTTTTTGTAATGAGATATCAAATTTGAGTTAAAATTACATGATTTTTTCATTTTATTCTATTTCTAGATATATGTTTTCGTAATAGTAGATTTACATAATTCCTCCATTCAATTGACTTACAAATGTAATGCCATCAGGTTTCATTTAATTATTCAATAAATATGCACTTTAACTAAATAGTTTTATGTACAAATTAAAGACAAAATTATAGACTTTTCAATAAGATTATCACGAGTTTTGTGAAGTTTGGCAACTTTTTGTAATGAGCAATCAAATTTGAGTAAAAATTATATGATATTTCTGTTTTATTGTATTTCTAGATATTTTTATATAGTAGATATTCGTTGCAATCTAAATACATGTTTTCGTAATAGTAGATTTACATCAATCCTCCATTCAATTAACTTACAAATGTAGTGTCCTCAGGTTTCATTTAATTATTCAATAAATATGCACTTTAACTAAATAGTTTTATGTACAAATTAAAGACAAAGTTATCAATGAGATTATCACGAGCTTTGTTTAGTTTGGCATTTTCTTGCAATGAGCTATCAAATTTGAGTAAAAAATTACATAATCTTTTCGTTTTATTCTATTACTAAATTTTTAGATATTTTTAGATATTGACTTACAAATGTAGTGCCCTTAGGTTTCAATAAATATACTCTTTAACTAAATAGTTTTATATACAAATTAAAGACAAAATTATAGATTTTCAATGAGATTATCATGAGCTTTATGGATTTTACAATCTTTTTGTAATAAGCTATCAAATTTGAGTAAAAATTACTTGATTTTTCTGTTTTATTCTATTTCTAGATATTTTTATATAGTAGATATTCGTTGCAATCTAAATACATGTTTTCGTAATAGTAGATTTACATCATTCCTCCATTCAATTAACTTACAAATATAGTTACATATATAGTATAGTTCAGGTTTCATTTAATTATTCAATAAATATGCACTTTAATTAAATAGTTTTATATACAAATTAAAGACAAAGTTATAGACTTTTCAATTAGATTATCACGAGCTTTGTGGAATTTGGCATCTTTTTGTAATAAACTATCAAATTTGAGTAAAAAATTACTTGATTTTTCGTTTTATTCTATTTCTACATATTTTTTTATAGTAGACATTCGTTGAAATCTAAATACATGTTTTCGTAATAGTAGATTTACATCATTCCTGCATTCAATTGACTTACAAATGTAGTGCCCTCAGCTTTCATTTAATTATTCAAAAAATATACACTTTAACTAAATAGTTTTATATACAAATTAAAGACAAAGTTCCAGAATTTCCAATTAGATTATTAGGAGCTTTATGGAATTTGACATCTTTTTGTAATTAGCTATCAAATTTAAGTAAAAATTATATGATTTTTCTGTTTTATTTTATTTCTACATATTTTTTTATAGTAAACATTCGTTGCAATGTAAATACATGTTTTCGTAATAGTAGATTTACATCATTCCTCCATTCAATTGACTTACAAATGTAGTGCCCTCAGGTTCCATTTGATTATTCAATAAATATGTACTTTAACTAAATAGTTTTATGTACAAATTAAAGACAAAATTATAGACTTTTCAATAAGATTATCACGAGTTTTGTGAAGTTTGGCAACTTCATGTAATGAGCTTTCAAATTTGAGTTAAAATTACATGAATTTGTCGTTTTATTTGTTGCAAACTAAATACATGTTTTCATAATATTAGATCTATATCATTCCTCCATTTAATTGACTTACAAATATAGTGCTCCTAGGTTTCATTTAATTATTCATTAAATATGCACTTTAACTAAATAGTTTTTTTTATACAAATTAAAGATAAAATTATGGCCTTTCCAATAAGATTATCACGAGCTTTGTGGTCTTTAGTATCTTTTTGCAATAAGCTATCAAATTTGAGTAAAAATTACATGATTTTTTTCGTTTTATTCTATTACTAAATATTTAGATATTTTAGATATAATAGATATACACTTTAACTAAATAGTTTTATGTACAAATTAAAGACAAAATTAGATTTTCCAAAGAGATTATTACGAGATTTGTTGAGTTTAGCAACTTTTTGTAATAAACTATCAAATTTGAGTAAAAATTACATGATTTTTTCGTTTTATTCTATTACTAAATTTTTAGATATTGACTTACAAATGTAGTGCAGGTTTCATTTAATTATTCAATAAATATGCACTTTAACTAAATAGTTTTATATACATATTAAAGACAAAATTATAGACTTTCCAATGAGATTATCAGGAGCTTTGTGGAGTTTGACATATATTTGTAATAAAATATCAAATTTGAGTAAAAATTACATTATTTTTTCGTTTTATTCTATTACTAAATTTTTAGATATTTTTAGATATTGACTTACAAATGTAGTGCCCTCAGGTTTCATTTAATTATTCAATTAATATGCACTTTCACTAAATAGTTTTATACACAAATTAAATACAAAATTGTAGACTTTCCATTGAGATTATCACGAACTTTGTGGAGTTTGGCTTCTTTTTGTAATAAGCTATCAAATTTGAGTAAAAAATTACATGATTTTTCGTTTTATTCTTTTTCTAAATTTTTCTAAATTTTTATATAGCAGATATTCGTTACAAACTAAATAAATGTTTTAGTAGGAGTACATTTACATTAATCCTCCATTCAATTGACTTAGAAATGCAGTGTCTTCAGGTTTCACTTAATTATTCAATAAATATCCACTTTAACTAAATACACAAATTAAAGACAAAATTATAGACTTTCCAATGAGATTATCACCAGGTTTATGAAATTTGGCATCTTTTTCTAATAAACTATCAAATATTAGTAAAAATTACATGATTTTTTAGTTTTATTGTATTACTAAATTTTTAGATATTTTTAGATATTGACTTACAAATGTAGTGCCCTCAAGTTTCAATAAATATGCACTTTAACTAAATAGTTTTATATACAAATTAAAGACAAAATTATAGATTTTTGAATGAGATTATCATGAGCTTTGTGGAATCTTTTTGTAATAAGCTTTGAAATTTGAGTAAAAAATTACATGATAGTTTATATATAAGTTTATTTTTTCTTTCATGTTGTTCCTGTTGCAATTTTATGTTGCACAATGTAAAATCGAAATATTAACAAATATCAAAGCAACTCCCGTATCTCTCTATTAAGCCGTAGCTACATGCAGCGAGCGAACATGCATATTGCGATGCATGTATGAAAAGCTTTTAAAGGCAATGTTGCAATAAAGCACGAGAATCGAGCTTCCCTGCATATAAATAAGCTCACTGCAACGTACAAATATTTTCATTTTTATGTTATTTACAAATTTTCGACGCAAATATACGCGTTGCGGTCAGTAGTTTAAATTAATAAAGCGGAAAACGCAACATAAATTTGACCACAACGCCAGATATTTGAGGGAGAGAAAGAGTAATTTAATATTTCTGGCGTGTAAAAATTGGGGTTTTTGATGAAAAAAAATAATATATAGAAATAAATAAAGTGCGCGTCGCTCGGTGTAATAATAATAATTTATAGAGAGGACCTTCACGTGTCCTCGTTTTACGACTCGCAACGATGGAATGAATAGCTCTTCGTTTTCCGGTACGCGCGTTTATGCGTGCTCACATTTTACCGGTTTTTATTACAGCTTTTTTTTTTTCTCTCGTTCTTTTCTCTATACGCTCTGTGTGTGCGTGTGTTTCTTTTTTTTTCTAGTGAATTATTTAGTAATAACACTTAAGTTGGCGCACCTGGCGATTACATAAAATAACTTTACGACTATTTCACATTTTAATCATCTATTTCGCAAAACAAACACATTTTCTGGAGAACTATAATACGTAGAATGAATCCAAAAGATGCATATGAAAGCTGAATGTTTGGGGAATGTAGCAT